GAGCCCCAACAATGAGACTGGTAGTTCCCAGTCACCGTCTGCTAGACATCGCCACACCAAAGAGAGTGTTTTTTAGCCTGTTCAAGGCGGCCCTAAGCGGCAAGATGTCCGCCTTACCGGTTACGCGTGAGATGTAGAGCACGCGAGCCTTGCCCGGCGCTCTCAACAAGTCCTCTTTTATGATAAGCTGATGGGGAATTCCCACGAGATCTGCATGCGACTGCATTTGACGAAGCGTAAGGCCTTGCCGATCGTCAAAGAAAACGTCCGCAGGGCCCCCTGCTTCTGCCGCAGACTTATGCAGTATTCTGAACAAGGCCTGGCCTAAGCGGGCCGTGCGGCGGCCATCGTTCCAGCGTGCGGCAGGCTGAGGCAGAACTGCAACACAGAATGGTGCCACCTGAGGTGGAAACAATAGGCCTTTTGAGTCTTGATGCATTAGTGCCAAGTGAGCAAGCAGTCGGGAAACTCCAAGTCCATAGCTGTTCATCAGTGGCATGTTCAAGGCACCCCGAGAATCCGTGAAACGGGCTCCTGCCGCTCTGCAATACGTTTCGGGTAGCTGAAAGCAGTGGCCGACCTCCAAAGTCGAGCTGATTTGGGAGCCTTCCGCATATCTAGGGTAAGCACCATTTCCGCTTCCGTCTGGCAGATCCGGTCCCGGTGCTGCCTGGTCACTTCCTAGAATGCTGCGCACCTAAAGCAATAGCAAAAACGCAAGGTCAAAGGAATGTACTTTGGAAGCAGTATCAGCTATCATTATTGTGAATAAGCGGCAGCAAACAGGTAAGGGCTTTACACCAGAGGCATTCCTAGGGAAAGTTGTTGAGGGGTTCCTCACATGGTATTCGTGGCTACAAGGTCCCCCCATTGTTCCAGGGTCCGCACGCACTCTCCAAACTGGCCCTGCGCCCACCCGTGTAAGTATACGACGGAAGCAGGCATCCATTTTTTCGTAAGTAGTTTCTCTGCACAGTGCGTCTTTGTGAAAGGAATATACTTCTAGCATGACAAATTCACGAGCGCGGAGGCACCCCGCCCTGGGGCGGGCTTCATCTCGGAACTTTGGACCTATCTGGTAGAAAACCTGTGGGAGATCTCTATGGCTTCGGATGCCACTTGCCGCCAGCCACGCCGCTGCTTCCTCAGACGTTGGGGGCAAAAAAAACTGCCGGGCACGACGATCTTGCACCCTGTAGAGAGACGGGCCGAACGCGCGGACTCGCTGCGGAGAACAGTCACAGATGAACTACAGATACTTGTTGCGATTACAATTAAATTGGTTGCTCCTAATAAGAGGAGCGTATCGCGCAGATTCGGGATCCTGTCTGGGCAAACGATTAGTCGAGAAGTGCAGCATTTAAGCTGATGAGTGGTGTGCAGAAGTGGAAGTTCACGGCCGCGCTGCTATGTTTCCAGCGCTGGCAGGTCGTACATCTGAATTCTGCAGCCAATGTATCGGCATGATGTTTGGGAAAGACAAAGGTGAGGCCGTCCCTGCAAGTTCTTGGTGACAGACAGCTTCAATTTTCTTGAGCACGCGGAACCCCAACGGTAAAATGCAAAAGAATCCGGAAGCAGTAGTCTGCACCAGGCGGGCCTTCTCGAGTAATTGTCCCGCAGCAAACGCAGCATTTTCCCTGTCGTCACATGCCAGGGAAACGGTTGGCGAGTCGTTGCCCCTCGTCGCAGCCGGTGGGGCTGAACTTCGCTTGATCCCTGAAGAGGTACTAGGCGCCAATCCCCCAGGAGAAGCACTCTCTTCGTGAGACGAGAGACGCTCTTCGCCAGAATATGTGCTGTATCCCCCTCCTACGTGTGCACCGCCTGGCATAACTAAGCTGCTCGCACGAGAGGCGCGAGGCAAGCCACCACAGAGGTATTCCGCTCCTGCATGCCCCTCATCCGGAGAAAGTGCGAAAGCAACACCATTGCAACGGAGCCTTTCTTTACACCTAATAGCTAGTGCAACAGGGGCTACCGGAGTCCTCTTTAAATGGGACTTGAAACTAGGATTTGGTTCAACACCGAGGCAGCGCGCATGGTTCGCGATAAAGGCGCCAGCGCGCCTACATTTCGGAAGTCCCACTGAAATTGAAGCCTTCGCACCCTGTGTGCACAGGAGTTGAGGTGCCGTGGCAGGCGAATGGCAGCGGCGAGGAGNCGATCGCAGTGTATTGGAAGGGGAGCCCGAAGAGCAACGAGTAGCTGAGCACGCCATCCTTGCCTGCGCCGCTATGGAGGTGACCACCGCGATACTCCATGGTAGGAGAGGCTTGTTAAGGGCTCAAAAGCTGCATTTCAGAGAGGCTTGTTCAACTGAGGCTCTACTAAGGCACTGATCATGAATTTCCAGATCATGTATTTCCGAGGCTTAAATGCAGTGAGCCGGCTGCCTCGTCAGCATCGTGTGAGTTGCTCCTGCGCGGACAGGTAGGACCATGCAGACCCTCATGTTAAATTCAGTCTTTGAAGAGTTTAAACTTATTAATAACATGTTTCTGGTAACAGTTGATATGAACTTCAAGACAGAAGGTGAAGGGAAGCCTCGGGAGCTTTATTGCGGCCTAATTTTAATGTGAGTCGAATGTGAGTGGCGACCGCATGCAGCCGACCACCCCCGTAGCATGTATCCTACATAGGGAAGCGCAACCCTGCTGTTTTTTCTAACCCAGGTTGGATCGCGCCGCAATATTGGTGGTTTCTGCCTCAGGGAGCGGCCCGTGCCTACTAGCAAAGGCGGCGAATTTGGATTTGTAGTACGGCTCCCACGCATGTCTCGGGAATACCACTTGAACCACGATCATTTTCTGTCAACAAATGTCCACAAAACCAACGAAAGTCGCTTTTTTCCACCTCTGTTTGGGCGTTGGGGGCGCAGAGCAACTCGTCTTGCAGACTGCTCTTCAAACACACAGGGTGTTTGTAGACTCACGGCGCTCGCCGTGCACAGTTGATATCTTTACATCTTACTTCGATAAACACAGATGTCTCGAATCATCAAGAGATCGTGAGCAGTGTCACGATGCCGACAGTCGCAACAAGCTGCACAGATAAACGGGGGAGGCTAGCGAGAAGGGCAGTGGACCGCCAGTACAGAGCCGCTTACGTAGAGTGGTTCCTGCCAGCCGTCAGCTCATCTGATGCGGAGCGGCCTGCTACAGCAATGCCCTTCTATCCCCTGCTATGGTAGAACTGCTTGTTGCGTTTTTGGGACAATAATCCACTGCTGTATGTCATGAACCCTGTGTGCCCTTTTCAGCGAGACTGAACATACGCGTATTTGGATCGTTTTTGCCGCATGCAATTCTGGGGCGGTTTCGCGTCGTGTGCTCGATCCTGCGTATGCTCTACCTTATCCTTGCCGCCATATTCACAGGTGGGTGACGGGCAGCCAGTCGTGTTGTTCCTCCAAAGAGCTACCGAGCAAGCGACCCAGTGTTTGTTTCTTTTATTTCAGGACATATGGGCTACGATCTTGTGTTTAATGATCAAGTGGCAGTAGTGAATCCACTTCTCCGCTTGATTGGTAGGAAGGTGAGTCTATGAACAGGCTGCAACTCCGTCATGCACGCAGGATTTCATTTATTTGGCATCCTAGGTATTTGACACGCGAGTTACAAACTGGGCTCCGGGGGCCCCAATAGTGATTTTTGTGTTCTAATCACTTTATTCATCAGGTCATCTTCTACGGTCACTTCCCTGACCTCTTACTCGCCGACCGCGGGCCATCGGTTCTCCGCCGCCTGTACCGCTACCCGTTCGATAAGCTCGAGTCTTTGACTACTGGTATCCTCCCAAAGGGACCATGCGTGCCAGTCTGACACCAGAGTATAATTTAGGCCACATGCGTATTCCATCACCCAGGCAATCTCATGTTCACAATTATGCACAACTAGCCTACAAATGCAAACACTGCCTTGAGAAATTAAACTCAGATTATTTCATGTTAGCAAGTGGAAAATATTTCCAACGAAAAACCGGACGGCTGACTTCTTTTCGCGCACAGTTNATTTCATGTTAGCAAGTGGAAAATATTTCCAACGAAAAACCGGACGGCTGACTTCTTTTCGCGCACAGTTCAGCATTTCAGTAATTAAATATTCCAATGTAGTTCAATGTGATAATGAAACTGCTAGTCGGGGTCTGTTTAACAAGAATTTTCCAAATTCACAGTACCTTTGCGGTTCGCTGTCAATGCCTTGTTTCGACTTTTCATTAGATGCCGGCAGCTCAACATGTCGATTTGATGCCTGAAGGGAGCGCTTGTTGTGTTTAAAACCTTAACCTCCACTGTGCTGGAGTTGGACTTTGGTGCACAGTATTTGCCGCTCCACTGCTGTGATGCCCGATGACCGTGCAGGGATGTGTGACATGGTGCTGGTCAATTCCAAATTCACCGCAGAAACATTCTGTCAAACATTCCCATCCTTCAGGTGCGAACAGCCTGACTATGGATTCGCTGCGCATCCATCAGAGGCCTTCGAATGCGTTGTTAACGACAAGTACGCATCGTTTCTAGTCAAGGGTTTGGCTCCGTTGTAATATGGGTTTGTCCCGCAGGAAGGCCAAACCCCGTNGCATCGTTTCTAGTCAAGGGTTTGGCTCCGTTGTAATATGGGTTTGTCCCGCAGGAAGGCCAAACCCCGTGTACTGTACCCGCCGGTTAGCACGGAGGTAGAAGCATTCCAGCTGCACGGCGGCAGTGACAACTCCGATGCTACCTTCAGCGAGCTAGAAGGGTAGGTGAGCGGACCGGGAGAACGGCAGAAGACTACTGTTGAAGTTGTAAGGCGTTGCTTGCTGTGAGATATCTGTGATTTTAGGCCTGCGTAGATAGCCAATTGCCCTTTCTGAGTCACCCGTTAACCGAGCATATGTGTCCCTTTGTTGCAGCTTTGATTTATCAGTGCCCTTTGCTACTTCTCTAAACCGCTTCGAAGAAAAAAAGAACGTGGAGCTTGCAATAAGAGCCGTGGCAAGTCTTCCACGACGGATAAAGTGCAACTTGATCGTAGCAGGTGATAACCTTTTGCACATGTTCGACGCAGATTTGGCTCGTCGATACCGCGTAGGTACTTTGTAGGTAGACCTAGATGCTTAGCTTATGAAAGGATCGTGGAGAATTGACCAGCCTTGGCAGCGTCAGCGGTCTTCCTTCGAGGTGCACAGTGGGGGTTTGACTACATGCTAAGCATGACAAGCAGGATCTCTATACAGGGTGGGTCGTGTATGCTTTAGGAGGTTTCGACCCACGTCTACCTGAATGCAACAAATATTTACAGCGACTCGTGAAACTTTCGAAGGAGCTCAACTTTTGCGTTCATGGTTGTGACGATGGTGTAGACGCCAACGCATCGGTTACCCACAACTCGGAGGGTCGTTGTATTCTGTTCCTCAAGAATGTAAAGTGCTCGTTGAAGCTGTTCTTGCTCAAAAGAAGTGTCTGCATCCTTTACACCCCTCATGAGGAGCACTTTGGCATTGTGAGTGATGCGGGCTTGTGGCGTCGTCCCNGCTCAGATGTCTGCGTTTTCTGGGGCCTCCGTCTCAGGTACCGTGTGAAGCAATGTTCGTCGGTACTCTTCCCGTGGCTTGCAATACAGGTGGACCCCGGGAAACCATCGTCGACGGAGGAACGGTAAATGACTCTACCGAAGAATGTTAGCTAGTTCGTTTTTCGCTTGCAATCGTGATGCTTGCAGACGTGAGAGCACATACCTAGACAAACGTCTGCATGCAAGTGAACGCACTACGACGTGACTGTCCAGAATGATGTGGAGCAAGGGATGCCTACGGTCTCATTTCCGCTTCTGGCATGCTCAGGGTTTCCTCTGCGCCCCCACGCCGGAGTCTTTCTCTGCTGCTCTTGAGCGCATCGTGTTGCTGTCGGTGCAGAATCCTGAAGAGCTGGCGGTAAATGTATTAAAGTGCTCTTCCCTGCAGCTGTCACTACTTGCCAACATGACCCCCGACCACACGTATCGATACACACCAACTTGCCGGTCACTGCGTTTGCGAAAATGCCCTCAGGCCATGCGCTCCAAAGCTCAAGCGCATGCAGCCAATTGCTTTTCACCAGGTATGTGGAGGCTAATATTCCTTCTGCGCAGGGCACATCGGCCGCATTATACAATTCCTTCGCACACGCTTTAACACTTTAGCATACACATACACATTGGTTCCTGTGCAGATGTGTTTCGTCGGTCCCTTCAAGCTGTTATTGAAGATGTCACAGGAAACTGGGATGACAACTCCTTGGGACATCTCAAGAAAGGCTAGAGGCAAGAGTGCACATCGCGCAGGAAGGGGCACATTGACTAGCACCAGTTAAACGCAGTGCCTAAACAGCGTATAAACATTTTTTTGATGAAGCCAATAAGTGATGCCTTATGTTTGTCTATTCACGGCTTCGACTAAGCTGTGGAGTTGGATCTCAAGGAGCCTTTCATTCAGGGGCTCTTGGGTGGTACTGAAGGGGGGTGGTTCAGGCATTTGCCTACATTCACTTAACTACTCCTTTGTTTACTGCCTAAATGCAACAAGGAAGAGTCCGGTAGTTTTAGTGTTTCAAAATGTGTCAATGCGCCCTGGACAGCACATGAGCCAGACCTGAGCAAATTGAAAAAGGATAAGGGGCACGCATGGTCCACTGTGTAGACAACCACAGATTTGCCATCAGCCCATCATGAATAGCATAATACAAAAAAAGACGTAATCTATTATGCGAGGCCTCCTACACCCAGCACCCCATTTTAGAAGCACAAAGAAGCAAGCCTGCGCTTCCTGCAGGGGAGTGGCACCCAGTCAACGTGTACAGCACAGCTGGTGCACCATTTTCAGCAGATGCATCATGATATCATTTCAGCTTAGGGTAAGGCGCAGCAAAGCCCAAACACGGAACAACTATGGCAAATCGTACGCCGCCCGCACGTCTGCCACTGCTTTCGATACAACTGGTGCGGCTTCCATTAGCAAACGTTGTTGGGCGAAGAGAGCTTCGAGCCATTCGGACAGTTTCGTCAAAACTCGTTGTCCTTTCCCTGATGACTCTCCAATGCCAGACGGCCCCAGCATTCCGATCCCTCTCCCCAGTGCTGCAGGCTGGACGTCGGGCTGCAGGTGCGTAGGGTCAGACTGAGCTCCTTCGCCAACTCCAAGGTACAAACGGGCTGCCTCCATATATACATTAAGAAACGAATCATATAGGGGCTCCTGCATACCCGTGTTGAGCTCCTCAAGTGTGCTGTTCAAGCGAAAAATCGCCTGGCTGTCCGAGAGGGGAAGCTGCAAAACCTCTAGAGCGTGGTTTATACCCTTTGCTGGGGCCGCCAACTTGTCGGTCGCTTCCAAAAGGTACCCAATGATTTCAAACATCCCTGGCGATATTGACTCTGAAATATTAAAATCATTCAATAGCTCTACGGCAATTTTCTTCCTCTCAAGTGTTTCTTCCGTGGCGCTCCCAAAGTTTACTGAAAGCTCCCGCAGAATGGACTGAAGGACCGAACTGCTGTCAACAACCGTGCCATACTCGGACTCTAAGAGGGCATCTGAGTCCTCTGATTCGACAGAAAGTTGGGCACCGGCTTCTTTACTTCCTTGTTTCTTCTTCAACCCAAACGGTAAGTCCGCACTTGTATTCCATACAAAGAGCAGCGCGGCAGTCGCGATTGATGCAACCAGGAGAATACCTGGAGGCAACATAAACCGAGACTTGCGACGTTGAAGACTAGCTTCGGTGGACCACTCAACCAGAAAGAACGGATCTTCGTTCAGTTCCAGCGGAATGTTGTAGGTTTTACTCGTCTTTTCGGCGACATACTCCACTGCCGGGTACGCACCACCCCCGACCCTCTCGTCCCAATCGTCACCCAGAGTCTCGCCTAGAAGGAACAGAAGCGTAGCTGTGCTGAGCAACGACCACAAGTGGAGCTGCGATACAGTCCTTGAAAGTGTCATTTCCCGTTTGATGCGGTGCTGTCGAATTGCCCTGGGCTATTTGCTCCCCCTCATCGTATGTCAAAAGTTCCAGCTTCTTCTGTTAGTTCAAAATCAATAGATGGTTGACCATTTCAGCCCTCGTCTGCCACACGAAAGTTGTCGAGCGGATCTCCCGAACTGCCGCATGGCTGTCGAAGGTGCGCTGCTTAGCTTCCGAAGGCTGTGGAGCTGCGTCATGCAATAACAGGCTTCCTTCCTCTCAAAACTACAAAAACAGTGAAAAGCTGCTCTTCTGCTTGGCCGCAATGAGTAGATTTCTGGGAAAGCCCCATGCGGTCGAGCGCCAATCCATCAGCCCCGTGGATCGCATGGGGGGCCCCTACAGAAGTTTCCAGTTACACACAATACACTGCAGCTGCACTTAAGACTATTATGTTATTTGCGTTCTGGTTTGTGAGGGTTCTATCGAGACAGAGTTTTCTTAGTTGCCAGAGCTGCAGGATCCACGAGTCAAGCCGCCCTGTCCCGGATCTATCCGCAAACATTATCTGTCCTCTATACTTACTCAGGGAATTTTTTCCTTTTAACTTGAACAAAACTGAGAGTGGAATATATCTGAGTGTGAGGTGTGCGAATGAAAAGACTCAGTCACCTGCTGCTGCAGAGCGCTCCCNAGACTGCACGTAAACAGGCTCATGATACCCGGTGGAGACTGCCTCAATGGAGTCGGGCCCAGCTGCCAATTCAGTGCTTGTCAGCCCTTTGGCAGTTGATGATGTCTTTCGTCATCGGACCGTCCCTGAGGTGCAGGAGCTGCTCCGGCAGCTCCAGTTGCAACAGGCGAACGATGTGGAGGAATTGCGTTCCCTTATAGGCGTTCGTTACCTTTCTTTTCTCGAGGGTCTACCGGAGATTACCCGCATGCAGCAGTCGGCTGAAGATGCTTTAGAGGATGCCAGAGCCTTCGGTACGGGACTACGGCGCCTTGCAAACGCTTTAGGCAACGCTGTTTCTGAAGTTGGGGAGCAGCAATCTCGTGAGCACCAGCAGTTGTGTTTGGAGGAAGAGCTACCCCTACAGAACAGCACTCCGCTAGATGACTTTCTCTTCTCCTGTGAAGTGGATGCCTCTACGCCTGCCGTTTATTTTCCTCCCCGTAAGGGTCATAGGGCTGAACCAGCTCCCAGATTTCGGGTTTACCCCTGCTTGTCGGAGAGGCATGCCGCGCTGCAAGGACAAGCAGAACCACTCCGATATTTGCAACAGCAGCTCTTAGTGCTGCCCTCTCGAGTTTGGGAGGCTGCTAGGTGCCAAAAGTTCCTCGAAGCACTCCGCCTCATCCACATCGAGGGGACACGGCAGGCGGCAGCCGCAAGGGCTGCAGTTCGTGAACTTCAGCAGCAGCACCAGCAGGGGCTAAAACCGGCCCAGCAAAACATAGAACGGCTGATTTCAGGCTGCTTGGCTTTAGCCCAGCAGGTAACTCGTATCTCACCCTCTCTTCGTGTCTCATTGCGTGCACTCGCAATCCGTCAGCTGGCGTCTCCTGAATTACCACTTCCAGTGGTAGCCGACGCGGCTGCTGCAGCGACGCTCATATACCTCTTAGAAAACAGGGCTTCTGTGGGAGAGGCCACGAAGGAAGCAGAGAAAATATTGAGCGAATCAGCCGCGAA